TTAGTTAAAGGATGACATTAAAATAATATGGTTAATTAAGGGATGACTTTGAAACAACATGATTAATTAAAGGATGACTTTGAAATAATATGATTAATTAAAGGATGACTTTAAAATAATATGATAAGTTAAAGGATGACATTAAAATAATATTGTTAATTAAAGGATGACATTAAAACAATATTGTTAATTAAAGGATGACATTAAAATATGATTAATTAATGGATGATTTCATAATGGAAGCATTGAAAATCTTCAAATCATTATTCATTCATTAAGCTTAAATTTTATCAACTTCAATTAATTTTAATTATTTGTTTACTTTTTCTTTTTCTTATCAATACGTCATTTTTAATATCTGAAACTTTTTACTAAACTGCTTATTTTATTCGAACTAATTAACGAATAATTTCAAAATTAATTAAAAGTTTGGATATAAATATTTATTAATGTGACATTAAAATTGAAGAAATGTATATAAAAAAGAAAATGTTTCAATTTCATTGTTTTTTAAATCTTAAATTTTTCTTTTTTAAATTTTAAATTTCTTTTTAAATTTCAAATTTCTTTTTCACAAAAACAAAAATTTTTCAATTTTATTTTTTTTAAATCTTAAATTCTTTCTTTTTTAAATTTTAAATTTCTTTTTAAATTTCAAATTTCTTTTTCACCATTGAATTTCAATTATCTTTTTAATTCTTTTTAATCTGTTATTTATTAAAAAAAAAAAGACAAAAAAAGAATTTCCCACTATCTGTCATTTATTTTATTGTTAAAAAAAAAAAATAAATTAATTTGAGGAATTAAAAGTAATGTTTCTTTTTTATGCAAATATAAGCCTTAGCATTACTTAGCCTAATTGCTACAATAACACTTACGTGTATGTTAAACTTTTCCCCTTTTAAATTAGATAAACTTTTACACTTAACATTTTTTCCATTCCCCCAAAATAATAATTACAAAAGGCGGAAATTGAATGTTACATACAAAATGCGCCGCCAATTATTTTTGCAATACAAAAAATATGATAATTAATGAAATTTAAAGCTAAAATATTGATTTATTTTAAAAATAAAAATTTTCCCTTAATAAGAATAAAGTAGCAATGATCAAAGGAAATTTCCGAGAAACTGACCGGTGAATCAAGCAACTCATAAAGCCATTGGATCGTTTCGATATGAGCAATAATACCATTCATACCGTCCACGTATAGCATCACTTGGCCCAATGCTACAATAATATTTACACGTGTACGTTAAACATTTTTAAACTTTGGCATTATAAGCCTACCTAATGTTGAAGCCAAACGTACGTGTGCGTTGAATTTTTGCAAACTTTGGCATTATAAGTTTACCTAGTATTGAAGCCAAACATACGTGTGCGTTGAACTTTTGTAAACTTTGGTATTACAAGCCTGCCTAGGGTTGAAACTACACGTACGTGTACGTTAAGCTTTTGTAAACTTTGATATTATAAGCTTGCCCAACATGTATGTCAAATTATTTTTGTAAATTTTGGTATTATATTACTTATTATAAATCTATTAATTTGTATTATAAATCTATTATTTGTATTATAAATTTTGTATTATAAATCTATTATTTGTATTATAAATCTATTAATTTGTTCAAATTTAAAATATTGAAGTAAGAGAAAAAAAGAAAAGTTTAAATCAAAAATTGAAAAATATTTTTATATCATTCTAACTAATCCTATCTTTAACGATAATCAATTAATCATAATCATGATTACTTAATTCATGATAAATCTTTTTTCATCAAACATCAAAACTACCTATTTATTTCTTAGAACAAAAGGAAATATCTATTTTAATGAGCAAATTAATAGCTATAAATTATTGTATTCTAAAGTCTAACAAAAAAAAAATTACTTAATTAATGAAATGTTTTAATTAATAAAGTTAACCTCTAAGAATGTAATTTTGATGATTTTGATCAGCTTTTCTTCCAAGTTTAATCATACATTCTAAACCACCATTCTGTACGAATTCATGCACCAAATCTTTATCATCCTTGAAATTAACGAATTAATTAGCTAAAACAAAAGAAGCAAATTTTTATTTCAAAGAAAAAAAAATAAATTCTAATTTTTTTTTTCGAACAAAAAGAGAGATGTTTAAATATTTACTTGAAAAATTTGTTTCAATGAGAAAAGCGCTCTCCGTTGTTCACGTCCATGTGAATTGAGCAATTTATCTGCAAATAATTATTTTATTTCAAATTTTATTTTTGTTTTTTAAATTTATAAATTAAAATTTGAAAAAAATTGAAAATTTTTGGATAAGTTTTTAAAAAAGT